ATAGCCACCGTGCCTAGCATTCGGCGGACCGCAACACCTTTCGCCGGGGTGGCAACGGTGGCCCGAATTTACGAGAGGGACGCGCACCTGTGTCGCCCGACGCGGCCGCGACAACCCCCTGTCCAGCCCTTTCCGCCCCTGTTCACCCTCGACCCGTGTTTCCCGGAAACCGAGCAATTTCCTAAATAGTTGTCGGCGCTGGGTTATTCGTGCCGAGACAGCGATCGAACGAGTTTCCTCGTCCGCGCGCGAGTCGGCTCGATCCAACCTTGACACTGAACGCGACGGGAAGGGAAGGGAAGATTCGTTCGACTGGCGGGGGTGCTCGGCAAGAATGCCAGAGGGGGGTGGTTAGCCGGCGTAGGAGTTGGACGCACCCTAGGCCCGAGAAGAGTCGCGCGTATAACCGAAAGAGAAGAGAGAGAGAGAGAGAGAGAGAGAGGGAGAGAGGAAGAAAGAAGCGATTAGGATAACGAAGGAGCGTCGGCGAGAGGGAGGGGACGCGGAACGAAGCGAAGACGAGGAAAAGAAAGAACGAAAGTGTCGGTAGGTGGAGCAAAGGGGTTGCGAGAAGCGGAGAAGGGGCGGAAACGACGATGTAGAGCAGGCAACGGCCGAGCGGGAAAGCGCGTACCGTGGACGGAAGGCGATGGCGCGAAGGAGATGGAAAAGGATTCGAGGAGAGACAGGAGGAAAGTTTAGCGCAGGGGTGCGAGCGACGCCGACGAGAAAGGGTGGGCTCGGAGGGATCGGAGAGCCGCGAGGTGGGACGGCGAAGGAAAGGAAGGCACGGGCCGTGTGCCGTGTCCCGCGAGGCGAGAGACGAGCGGCGAGAGGCGAGGGTGGGGCGATCAATACTGCAGGAAACACCCCCTGAAGCCGGCTTCATTCAGCAGTCGGCGGCTCCCTTTCCGTTTTTCCACCACGACAGGTTCCTCCTGTCTCCTCCTGGCGCCGATACAACCGACCGCGATCGTACGACGGAGCTGCCCGCTAAGAGCACAAGGGCCGGCCGTCGTCGCGATCCTTCCAAGATAATCGCGCTTTTCGATTTAATCGCGTCGAAAGCACGATGGGACGAAAGCGGGCGGAGCGCTTCGCTTCGATTCGCCGCTGACCGGGATTCCTCGTTTCTCGTTTTCTCCGGAACGTCGAAGCGATCCTGACCTTGGCGGTCTCGTTCCTGCGACCCGTACCACGAGTATAGAGCACGGTCGGAGGGGGTGGGGCTGCTGGGACGTTCGCGTTAAAATTGCAATCTCGACGACCGAACAAATGATCGTCGGCGCGGCGCCCTTCGAAGCGAAAGAACAACGGCGAACGATCCGAAACACCCGAGGACACCGGTTCCGGTTGCCGCGACACACCGGAATCGCAAAATCGCTCAAAAATCCGAGAAAACGTCGGGATTTTCGAGAACTTGTCGTCGACGCTGCGCCAATGCGAGCGCTATCGGAACAATTTCTCGAGCAACGGGTATTATTCCCGTAGCGTCGTATCCCGAGCGTGTAAAGCCGCTCCAGCGGGACCGTTTCGTCCCGGAAAACGCACGGTTACTCTCGCGGATCAATTTCCTGCGTCCCGACGGGATACGAGGAAGGAGACCGAGACGAAGATGTCGCGCGTCCTTTCGGCTCGGAGAAGAGCACGCTCGCTCTCGGTCGCAGCCGATCGTTACGTTTCGTATGAATTAAATAGGAAGAGGGAGAGAGAGAGAGAGAGAGAGAGAGAGAGAGAGAGAGAAGCGGAGAACGAGCGTCGATCGATTCGACGGTTCGGTCGGCGCGACGGTCGATCGATGAAAGCGGAACGAAGCACCGCGCTCGGCTTTGCATACCGTGCATTTACCGCGAACCGGATGACTCCGAAATTTCTTCCGGCGGTAACAGGAGGCTTCCTAACGCTATTAGAACCTGACCGTGCCGGTAATGCCAGGCTTGTGCTAGAAAATCGAGTCGCAGCCGTCGCGACGCATCCAATCCGCGCCCGGCAGATTAATATTCCGCCCGTAACAGGCTCCGCCGTGCCGCGCCGCTCGATTTTGCTCGATCACGCGCGACGATCGAACCTTGTCTCGCCGAATCGGCGCGGGACGGCGCGCCTCGACGAATATTCGCTCGTCGATCGCGCTTTCCGCTCTCGCGGACCGCCATCCTCCCACGCGTTTCACGATACGTGGAAGCGTTTAGGCATCGACGACGGTACAGCGACGCGATAATGGAAATTGTTGCGAAAAACGGGCCGCCTTCCCGCTAAATAGTTTCGCGCAACGAACCGCCGACCGTTTAACGGAAATTAGGTCTGTCGGCGGCCGGTTCGTCGCCGCTGTTTACGCGAGCGCGGGCGTGGGTGGCCGGAACGCGGAGACAGGAATTTCGGCTACGCGTTCGTTCGTCGATCAAAAATCGACGCGTTGTCCGCGAATCTTCGCAAACGTCCGAAAAGCATGGACCGCTCCCGAGTTTTGTATTTCGAGGGTTAACGGCGTTTTCTCGCTCCGAGGGAAGGCACGCGTCGCATTTTGCGGCATCGCTACCGAGCGCGGCGGCCTCGTGGCTCGGTTTCCGCGGCATCGACCGGAATCGTTCCTCTTGAATACTGGATCGCCTCCTACGCTCGGCCAACAACATCGTACTAGGGCGGCGTTAATAATTCACGGTGGCATTTCGAGTGGCACACGCACGTGCGCTCTGCACGGTTCGTACGCGAGGTTAGGCGAGGCGAGGCGAGGCGAGGCGAGGCGAGGCGAGGCGAACCGAGGGCGACTCACCTTCGCCGTCGTTCCTTCTCCCCCGTTCATCTTCGTTGGCAGAAACGAGCCAAGCCCCTCTCAACCTCAACCTTATTCGTTTCGTAACAGACACCGGTCACAATAGGCGACGCGAACGCGTTATTAAGACGTTTACCTACGTACGCGCGCGCGTCGAACCACGGCTGCTCGGCCGGCTCCTCGCTCCACCGCTGTTATTCGGTCGCTCGCTTCGGTAACTCTTCTCGTATCGAAGCGCCGAGAAATATTTCGTATCGCTGTCGAATTCGTCGACGCCCGTCCGAGCTTTCGTCGCGACGCGGAGTATTTCGAGAACGATTTCTTTCGAACCGAGACCGAGACCGAGACCGAGATCGCGGCCGTGGGGGGCCGAGGCCAAGGTCGAGATTTCTTCGGAGGTTCGTGTCCCGTCGATTCGTCTAATAATCGGTTAACGCGATGCCAGTTGTAACATAAAATATTACGCGGAGCGTATCGATTTCGACGGCGACCGAGATATTGTTCCGTTTCGATATCCACCGTGAAACACGAAACACGAAACGCGATCGAAATACGGCGGTATTCCATAATCTACGAAGCCGTACCGGCCGCAGAATATCGAAACGGAGAAACGAATTTCAAGGGACGGTCGCGTCCCTCGCGTATCGCGTATCGCGTAGGTTCGGTTTCCGTCGAACGAGCTATTTCGATCCTCGTTGTCGCGTCAACGTCGGCCGTTGCCAAATAGGCTGCTCGCGCGCGGCTCGGCGAATCGTTCCGCCGCATAATCGCATAATCGCATAAAACGCGGCCCGAGAACCGTTCTTCTCCGATCGACGAACTCCGTTCGACGCGGAGATGGAAGCGGCGCTCGAAAAAACTGTAACCGAGGAACAAAGGCCTCTCGCGTTTCCAGAAAACGCGTGATTCGATCCTCGAACAACCGCCGACCTCGACCTCGACCTCGACCTCGACCTCGACCCACCGTTTCTTCGCTCTCGGCGAATCGCTGGGCCACCCGGGTCAATTTACGATTCTTTCGTCGTCGATCGTTCGTCGTTCTTGAAATTATTTCTCGCATCTCCGTTTATAGCGACGTCGAGTTACCGCGGCATCGAATTCGCGCGACGCACCGTCGAGACGTTGCTACAGTTAAATGAAACTTTTGCGAACTCGGCCGCAGAATAAATTACACATACGGCGAGATTAAATCCGTACGGTGTACACGCTACGCGCGTAAATAATTCTCGGTCGAGTATGCGAATACGTCCGTTTCAAAAATATCCAAGACGACGGACCGTTCCTTTCTATTCGTAAAACACGCTTTTATTCCGTAACGAAAGAAAAATGCCTACCGGTAAATACCCTGCGAGGGTCGATCGTTAACACCCTATAAACTTATTTTCCCGCATTTGAAAACGAACCGTTCCACGGATACGAATCGAACGTGCCAACGTATTGCGAAACCGTTGCCAACCGCGATTAATTCTAACAGTTTGCTCGTTCTTTCTATGCGGCAATCTCGCGGTTGTCGGTTCGTTGTTCGTTTCGCGAATATCCTCGATCCCCGATCGTCGAGCTCTCTCGTCGCGCGAACGTCGCCGAGAGAAGGATCGGTCGCGTCGGAGGAGGTCGACCGGGGCTGTCGGTGGAATTCCGCCCCCGGAGGCCGAGTAAATCGGCGCGAAGTGGGCGGGTTTGCACGCGGCCCGATACCACGAACGAGGCAACTTTCAAATTTCTTCCGGCGATAATGGTCGGTTTCCGGGCGGGATTATGACATCGCCGCGCCACGCCACGTCACGCCACGCCACGCCACGCCATGCCACGGCACGCCGCCGCGGCGCAGGCCCATGGAAAATCGTTCCGCCGCACCGGCGCGATGCGGTGCGGTGCGGCGCGACGCGACGGGTATCGCGTAAAGATCTTATCGGGGACAGCCGACCATGCCCGCGATAAGAAAATTTTCCGCTCGACGAATTTCATCGAGCCGTCGTTTCCGCGCCTTATTGCCGATCGATTTGGATGGACGGCGGTCGCGGCGCGGCTGCCTCTGCCGTGTACGTAATATACAACTATGTACGTAATCCGAAACTTTGCGCCGAAATCGAGGAATTCCGAGGGGCCGAGGGGCCCGCTGCCTCGGTGCGCCGTTCGAACGCCGCACGGGCCGAACGTCGGAGAAAATAAATTCGAATCGGTAAGATTTTCGAGGATGAACGCGTCCATATCCGCCTCGTTCGTTTCGCAGGTCTGACAAAACGGATCCCAGAGGTATGGCCAGCAGCACGGAGGACTACGGCTCGGAATTGCAGGAGCTGCAATGGGGCGGTGGTACCGGGTCCCACTTCCTGCGCAGCGGCTCCCACTTCCTGAGGAGCGGCACCGGCGGTTGCTACGAGGCGGAGGATTTGGAGCCGGCCAGCAGGCACCACGGCGGTCAGCACAGGGGCTACTACAGCCCTCCGGGTACCAGCTACACGATCGTCGAGAGACCGCCGAGCGCCCAGCATTACCATTCGTCGCACACCACGCCGTACAGGCACAGAGGCCACGCCGCCGGGACCGCCGGGGCTACCGGGACCACCGGGGCCATTTCGCCGGAACAGGTGCTCAGGTACGTTCGCGGGCCCTCTTCCGGTTTCGTCGCGTCCGGTTACTCTCGCGACACCGATTCCGCGCGGCGAAAGATCTTCGCGAGGAGGACCGCGCGCGCGTTTCCTTTCGATTTTACGAAAACTCTCGATCTCGTCCAGCGAATGGAACGAAGTCGGGCGCGGCCGTTCGCGATTCTCGCGGATCGGTGACGAGTAACGGGTAACGAACGCTGTCGCAGATTGTTCGGCAACGGCGTCTCGGAGCGTCGTCAAGGCGATAGGAGAACCCCGGCTTCGTCGCCCGCGAGCGTCGCGGCGGTCAGAACCTGTTCGTCCTCGTCGTCCCAGCAACACCAGCAGCAACAGCAGCAGCAGCAACAGCAGCAGCAGCAGCAACAACAGCAGTCGCAGCAATCGCAGCAAAATCCTGGGAATCCTCCGACGTCGCCGAGCTCTCAGCCGCTGAGCCTTCAGGAGCTCACCGTAAGGACAGTGACCATGACGAGAGATCCGCCGGACTCTCACCATGGCTTTGGAATCTGCGTGAAGGGTGGCAAGGACGCAGGTGAGATCCGAAGTACCTTCAGGCTTCCTCCGTCGCCGTACTTCGCGCCTCAAGAACGAGGTATCTTCCGACAGCTGTGACTTTCAAATGCCGATCATCGCCGTTCATCGCCGTCCATCGTCGTTCATCGGTCGCGGTGCTCCACGGACCGTCGATCGCGTTTCCGAAAGACCGCGATCTTTTTTCCGTATCTTCCCCGATCCCTCTATCCTCGCGCCCAGCGTTCTATTCGCGATCGCGTCGAGCTTTTCGAGGATTCGAGGAATCGCGATCGTCGGCCTGGCACCGCGACCTCCGCTGCGATCTTTTCTCTCGCAGTTTTATCGGGCTCGCTTTTCTTTTTCCATTGGCGTTGGCAATCGCGTATCGCGTCACCGACACCCCGTGCTTTTCGTGCTTCAGCACAGCTGCCGCGTCCACGCGTCCCCGATTTCCGGTATCCTCGCCCTCGAAACTTAATTTTCAGCCAACGATTAATCGGTGAAATCGGATCGGAGAAACGCTTCGAATCGAACCGGAATCGACGACGGCGAGAGAGCGAGAGATCGGGAATTCGGGGAAAGGCGGGAGAAAATTCAATCCTCGATCATCGAGCATCGTTTCCATCGCAGCTACACGCTATTGCCCCGACGGACAACGGTCGACGGACGACCGTTCGCGTTTCGTCTCGAGTTTCTCCCCTCTCGTTGGGATCGTTGCGCGAAAGGAATTCTCAGTTTGTTTCGCGTTTCGCGTTTCGCGTTCCGCGTTCTCTCATGGTCGGAACGACGATGAAAGGAAAGTAACCGAAACCCGCGAGATTCCTTCCTCGGTACTTTTTTTTTTTTCTAGTCCGTCGACGTCGATCGAACCGCGTCGAATTTCTCCGGGTAACGCGGAACCAGCGAACGAGTATTCGAATCGACGAATGAGAAAGAGCCACGACCCGCCTCCGTTCGCCCCCGCGTATTCAGGCCGAGGGAGGTTCGGCCGTTGCGCCGTTTCGCCGATTCGACGTTCGCCGAGGTAATCAGCGATGCCGGCTAATCGACCGGCGATGGGACACCGCGCGCGTTCGACGACGCGCTTCCGATTGCCTGCAGCCGTCGCGCGTGCGCGTATTTTTATTCCGGTGCTCGGCGAAACGGATCGAGCGAACGCGCAACGGCGTCGCGCGCGTCTCGTCGTCTCCGGATGGACGCGCGTTTCGCGAATCGTACCGATTTTCCTCTCGGCAAAGTTATTCGATTCGATTCGTTTCGGCTCCGATCTCGATGGAGCACGCGTCGATCGCGTCGGCAGATATATTCGTTGGTCGCGAATCATTCGGTGGAACTTACGATCGGGAGGCTCTCGATAACGCGCGGGATTCGGCGAAAGCGTCGACGGATCGCGTCGACGACGAGCGCTCGCAAAACACCTCGCGGGGTGCCGCGAATGAAACAGCTCCTACCAACGACGGGTGACGCGTTCGACCGATACGGTCCGTATAAATTAACCGAAACGCGCCGATACGGCGTTTCTCCGGAATCGGAAAAAGACGGTTCTACGCTGGTTCCTCGCGGAGAAGTTCCGCGCACGGTTTCGAAGATAGAAAGATAGAAAGGTGTTCGTCCAGGACCCACGTTCCACGGATGCCGGACGCATCCCCGACACCGGTTTCACGGATTCGAGGCTCGTAAACTTCACGCTCGATCGCGCTCGATCGCGGCCAGGTATTCCAGCGCGACGCGCTCCAACGATCTTTTCGCGTCGCGCTTCGTCCTCGTCGAGATCCGGCGAGCGCGAAACCCTCGACTCTTCGCGACTCTTCGGGACGCGGAGACGCGAAGACGCGAGGAACGCGTCCGAATGCTTCGAATCCTGTGCAATGTCTGCGTGGATCCTGCGCGACGGACGCATTCACCTAACCGGAAACGCGTCTGCGCGAAACGATGTTCGCCAAGCTGTTGTTTCCTCGAAGTCACCGATTCGCGCCAAGCGTTTCTTCGCGTTTCTCGATTCTCGAGCTCCTGCCGAATTAGAAATTCGGAAATCGAAGAAATTATTATTAATTTATATATATATATATATATATATATATATATATATATATATATATATATATATATATTTTTTTTTTTTATATATATATATATATATATA